TAACTGAGGATGCTGTGTGTTGGGACTTCATTACTTTGTTGATGACTTGAGCGACTTCTTTGCTGAATCAGATGACGGTTTTCAATTTTCATTCCCTCAACTTTGTGAGTTATTCACCACGTACTGAGCACGAGCTCCAGCTGTAGAATTTGCCAACTTCCATGGTAAAATACTCCCGCCTGTTTACTGTCCTTGAGGTGGAGCTGGGGAGAGATGCGTGTCCCCCACCTTTGTGTGGTGTCCCCACCACACAGATACAAAAGCCTTACACCCAATAGCACAGATAATAGTAATATGCACAAAAATATTTAGGAAGTGATGTGTTTTGAGTATTTGTTAATTTCATTTTCTTAATACAACTAATGTAAGTTTATATAATTATTAACAATAGCTGTTTAAAAACTGGCTAGCAAAATTCCTGAAATTCAGCAGTCCACCCTCTACACACCATTGTGGGGGTGCAGTGTGGCTTCTCATCACACCAGAGTAGTGCCTTGTGGCCTCAGGGGCGAAGTCCTAGCTCCAGGCCAGGCCTGCCCCTCACCTCCCGCCGTTGTCTGCCCAGCGATGCCAGGCTGTTGGCCCACCTGCAACTCCTCCTGTCCTCTCCACACCACGTTTGTTCTACCTCCACGGCTGCAGGGTCCCTCTGCCTGGACGTCCTTCCTCTTGACGGCCTGTCTTCCTGAACACTCAGCCAAGTGTCCCCTGGCCTTGCCATGGGCTCCACAGGGCCCCATGGGGCCTGACCTGCAGACCATCCTGCCCCTCGCTCCCCTGGCTGTGCCCTCCCAGAGGCCTGAAGTCAGCATGAGAAGGGCTTTCTTCATCCAGAACGGACCAAATGCACTTGCCCCACTTTGATCTGGGTCCCTCCTTTGGAGACTGAGAGGGCTCAGCAAGCTTTTCTCCTCTCCTCTGGCCTATGTGTGTGTGTGAAACTCACCCGCTCTGTACCCGCAGATGGTGGGGGTTGGGGGCCTGGCACCCTCAGGGTGCAGGAGCAGGCCTGGGGAGACAGGAGCAGGGCAGGTAGCAAGACAGCAGGAGATGATGAAGAACGTTTATTGTATAAAATAAAAAGGGGCTGCCCCATCCTGGGGCACAAGGACAGAACCCACCCCACAAACTCCCCCATTAGGGAAGCCCATCCCGGGGCTGCCCTGGACCTGCCCCTGCAGCCTGAGGGAGACCCTGCTCCCTTCTGGACTCCCTGGGGGCCAGGGAAGGCTGGAGCTGTACCCCCAGGTAGAGGCGGCAGAGTGGACAGGACCCCATGGCCCCAGCACCACCCCGGGAGCAGCAGCCTCGTCCCCGTGATTCTTCCCCCTCCCCACCCACAAAACTTCCCCACAGCAGACTCGGGGACACCAGACATCTCAACACAACAGGTACAGGCGCGGGCGGCTGGGGCCCGCTCCTCCAGAAGTGAGGGCTCTAGAAGACCGTGCACTTCTTTCCCGGCTTCTTCACAGGAGGCGGGCAGAGCACAGCCCGGATGGCCTCATCAAACACAGTCTTCAGGCCCCGCTGGGTCAGGGCTGAGCACTCCAGGTACTTGACAGAGCCTGGGGGCAGCAAAGAAAGGGAAGAGTGAGGGTGGGGGTCAGCACTGTGCCCCCCAGCGCAAACCTCTCCTCCCTGCACCGGCAGGCCTGTCCGTGCCCTCACCGATCTCCCGGGCCATGGCCAGGCCCTGGGGGTAAGTGATGGGCGCTAGCTTCTTATCCCGTAGCCGCTCAATGGTGTCCTTATCGTCACGAAGGTCCAGCTTGGTGCCCACCAGGAGGATGGGCGTGTGGGGGCAGTGGTGCCGAACCTCTGGGTACCACTGTGGGGATGGGAGGCTCTGATCCCTACCCCTTGAGAGCTTTACCCTCAGCCTGGCCCAGAGCAGGCCATGGCTCCCAAAGGCCCCTTCCTTGTGCCTAGACCCACATTTAGCCCTTCTTGTTTCACGGGGCGACCACTGGGTCTGGTAGGGAAATGACCAAGAACAAAAATACCTAGCCAAGATGCTTCCAGGCCCGTCAGGTCCTCTCAGTCAGGACCCTTCCTTCTCTGAGAGCCTCACTCAGCACCCCTACCCCACCCCTGGCCCCTCATCACCCTCTGGGCCACTTTAAGAACTCACATCCGGCAATCTCCAAAGGACAGTATGTCTTCTGTAAGGCCCTCAAGCAAGAGACCCCTGCCCTCTAAGGGCAAGTCCTCTGGGCAGCTTCCTCCCCTCCCAGGAAGACAACTCTGCTTCTGGCCCTTTCCTACCTTGGCTCGAACATTCTCAAAGGAGGCTGGGCTCACCAGGGAGAAGCAGATCAGAAAGACATCCTTGGGAGAAAGGGAGGGAAGAAGGGAAGAAGGGAGGGTACCATGTAGGAATGGTCAAAGAGGCTCCGAATGGCCTCTGCTCACCGCCCCCCCTGCACACACACACACATGCATGCACGCACACCAGGCCCTCTGGGCCTCCACCCGAGCCACCCGGCCCCTGCAGGCAGCCCTGTGGTCCCCTACAGTTTGGGGGTAGGAGAGTGGCCGAAGCCGGTCGTAGTCCTCCTGCCCAGCGGTGTCCCACAGCCCCAGGTTGACAGGCTTCCCGTCCACCATCACATTCGCAGAATAGTTGTCAAAACTGCAGGAAACAGAGTGAGAGAGATCCCCCCCCGTGTCTGGGTTCTCAGGCCTGCACAGACCTGGAGCTCTGTCAGCACCTCGCCTCACCCCGGAACCCAGACCAGGGCTACCTGGGCCCGACCTCGAAGCCCAGGGGAGCCCCGCGCACAGGCGTCCATACCCTCCCCTTGCCAGCTCTGGACCCGCCCGCCTGCTCACACGGTGGGGATGTATTCTCCAGGGAAGGCGTTGGTCGTGTAACTGATCAGCAAGCAAGTCTTCCCCACGGCGCTGCGGAGAGAGGAGAAGCCCACGCTGCTCCCAGACCCACCTCAGCCCTCTGCCCAGCAAGGGCAGCCCCCTCCCATGGTGCCCAGGGTGGGAACAGGGGTGCCTGCCCAGCAGATCCGCAGCGATAGAGGACCAGGGCAGGAGGGCCTCCGGGGTGGCAGAGTGGTGGGTGAGGGCTGGGGCAAGCTGCTCCAGAGCCCCAGGCAGGTGCCGGGAAGGTGGCACCGGCTGAGGGTTCAGCCCAGGTGAGAGGCCTGGCCCCACCCACCGGGAGGCCAGGAGGGGCCGCTGGCTGCCGGTAGCATCAGGTGGGCCTGGGCTGGAGGCCTGCGCCCCGCGACCAGCCGGGACCCCGCCCCACCGCGTCCTCCCGCCGCTGCCCGGTTCCCCAACGCCCACGGGCCGGTCGGGGCCGCCCAGCCTGGACCCCAAGCCGGGATCCCCGGGCCGCGCGCCGCCCCCTCCGTCCCGGCCGCGCCCTGGAGCCCCGCGCCCTGCCCAGGAGGGTCCCCGGGGCCAATCCCTCCCGACGCGCCTGGCGCGCCAGGCCGAGCGGCCTCCGCTTCGCGCACTCACCCGTCGCCGACCACCACGCACTTGATGGCCTGCATGGGCGCGGGCCGGGCGGGCGCGGCCGCGAGCCGAGCTGCGGAGAAATGCCCGGCGCCGCAGCGGCCGCGGACCCGAGCCGAGCGCCGAGCCGAGCGGCCGGAGACAGCCGAGCGCCGCCGAGCGCCGGGCGCGGAGACAGCCGAACGCGGCCGGCATGGAGGGCGGGGGGCGTGGACCCGCCCCGAACCCGGGCCGACGCGCCTTCCAGGGAAATCTGGTGGGGGGCGGGGTCACAGGGCACCCCGCAATCCGTGTCGAGTTTGGGCAGGCCCTCACCAGAGCCCCTGTGACCCACGCCAAGGGGCGAGGGCAGCGCAGACAGGCTGCTCCCACCCACCTGAACAGGTTGTGGTCGGTGCACACAAGGTTTCTTCCAGGGAGAGGATTCCCAGGGCCCACCGAGGGAGGGGCTGAGGCCAATCCACCCTCTAACCACGAGACAGCTGGTGATGAAAACTCAGGTGTTTGCAGTCACTAGAGATCCACGAGGCAGGCAGCCCCCTGCCGGGCTGCCCCCATCCCCACCTGTCTGCTGCAGTAGCTGGACCAATCCCTACCTGGTAGCAGTTAGAAGGGGTGACCCAGCCACACCTGGAGGGCCTTTCCTGAAGGGCCCAAGCTTGGAGAAAAGACTGATACTGGATAAAGGCACTGGGGCCAAAATGTATCACAAATTGCAAAAGTCTGTATTTCAGAACACCCTGGAGTGAGCGCTGGGGCCTGCGGAGCTCATGGTTGTGAAAGGTGACTGAACTGTGGTGGGTGGGGCCAGGAGAGCTCGGGCCTGCTCCCCCAGATCTCCTTCCAACACGGGTCTGTGTTCTCAGGCGCATCATTCCTTGTGATTGGGATGAAGGAGTGGGGATGGGGCTGGGGCCCTCTCCAGCCCCCTTGGCCAGCGAGGTTCTGGACCCCCCGCAGGCGGGCACTCTGGTGGTAAGCTGCAGCCATCCTGCTCTCACATCCATTCCAGCACTGATTTTCCAAGTCAGCGGCTGTAGACCGTGCCTAAAGAGCCCGGACCTACCGATGGCCTGTCCCTTGTAAAGAAGGGAGGAGCAGGCATGAGACAAAGATGTCCAACAGATGCCACCTTCCTGCCACTTTCAGACTTTCCCTGCCTCCCCTCACTTCTGGGGGCTCAAGGTCCTCAGGGGGGACCCCTGCACATAAGCCAGAACAGCATTTTGCAGGAAGCTGGCCCTTTGGGCCTCCTCATCCCGGATCCGGGCAATCTCGGCCTGCTTAAGGCGAAGCTTTTCACGGAGAGAGGCATTCTCGCTCTCCCTGTCCAGCAGTGCCTCCCGGTGGTCACTTGCGATCACTGCAAGGGAGGAAGCTCAGTGAGGAAGGGGCTCTGGGGACTGCCTGGGCTCCTGCCAATCCAGAGGTCCGCAGGGGGCCGGCAGGGTGGGGTTTGCTCGGGGTCCCCTGGGTGCACACATACCCAGCCTCCCCTACCAGCACCTCCTGGAGCTGAGACCTAGGCCAAGCTCAGCTCTCTAGGCCAGCCTCCTCCTTCTCCTGTGGGATGACCCAGTAAGAAAGGCCCTGCAGAGAAGCCACAGGGGGGCGGGGGTGGGGCTCAGCTCGCCTTTCAGCTGGCGTTCCAGGGCTGCTGCCTTCTCCTTCAGTGCTTCCTGGGCTGTCAGCTCGGCTTGCAGGCGGCCGTTCTGCTCCTGCAGCTCCAGCCGCACCCTTGTCACCTCAGCCACCTTTTCTTGGTCCTTGTTGCTCAGCTCCTGCCAGGCAAGGAGGTGGGGTGGGGGGTGAGGTGGCAGCTGGGGGCACCAGGGGCATCCCTGGGAGCCCTCGATGTCCCGGCTACCTGCTGCAGCTCCTCCAGGCGCCGCCTCAGGCCCTCCACCTGCCGGCCAAGCTGGCTGGCCCGTGCCTGGGCATCGGCTACCACCTGCTTCTGCTGCAGGCAGGAGCTTTGAGCCTCGTCCCGAGCCTGCGCCAGCAGCCGCAGCTTCTCCTCCAGGTGAGCCAGGCGCTGCTGCTGCGGGCCCGGGAGAGGGGCTGGTGAGCTGCTTTCTGGCCTGTGGCCCTGAGCTCACGAGAGGAGTGAACCCCCCAGCCCCACCTTCAGACAAAGAGGAGCATATGTTTGCAATGTGGAAACTGCCCTGTCACTAAAGTTATTGCATATGTTGCTCTGAATGGGCTCAACTTGAATGAGGAGCCTCCCCCGTGTCCCAGGCTGACACCATCCTGCCCTCTGGCCTCTGGTCCCCTACTTCCACCATGTGGTCACAGGCTGCACATTTGGGCCAAACCCCTTCTCCACCTTGGGGCTGGAGGACATTGGCTCTTTGCGTGGGCGCGGGGGAGGGGGGGCTGGATATGGTGCTGATGGGATGAGGGTCCTCGTCTAAGTTTTCTGCGCCCCTGGACCTCCTGTTCCCTTGTCCCTCCCTACAGAGTCAGAAGACAGCCTTAGTCTGGCCCACTTAAGCCCAAAGGGCTGTGCAACCCAGGCAGCTCATGCCAACCCCTTAGACCTCTCTCCCCAGTGGGCACTGCCAGCAGCAGACCATGGCCCTGGGCTCACCTCCTCCAGACGGACTTGGTTCTTGGCCTTGACGAGCTCCTCCTCAGCTTGGCTGCGCTCACTGAGCGCCGCGGCCTTTGCCCGGCTCAGCTCCTACACCGCAGACAGTGACCGCTGGGCCTGTCCTCTGCCCCTGCCCAGGGACCCCTTCTGGCCACACCCAGCCTCCCTAGGGGAGGGCAGGCCTGGCGCCCAGCTCACCTCCTCCAGGGACAGCCGCACAGCCTCCAGCCTCTGCACCCTCTCCTGCATGGCCCTCTCGCTCTCCTCCAGGTGGCGAGTCATGTGCTCCACCTGCCCAGGTGTGGGGTGGGGACAGGGCTGGCACGCTGGCTCCCCAGCCTTCCCTCAGGGGATCCCCACCCTGGGGGGCAGGTGAATCTTGGGGACTCTGTTACTTCCGAGGGCTGCCCCAAGTGACCTCACAGGAAGTGAGGATGGAGGGCACGTCCCAGTGCTGCACCCCAGGTGGCACAGAGCACATGGCAGCCTGCACTGTGGCCCCAGCAGTCAGGTTCCCTTCTAGAAACTGGTGGGGAGGTTCTGGGTCTGACATCTGCCAGGGCTGTCGGAGAAATGCCACCAGCACCCCAAGGTTGTTGAGGGAAGCCCGGCCAGGAGTGTGCCTTGGGGACACCATGCCACACCGAGGTGCCTGCAGGCCCCAGTGAAGTGGGGAGAGCAAAGGCCAGACGACACAACTAGTGAGGCACCTCCTTGAAGCGCAGGTGTTCCGCGTCCTCCAAGCTCTGCCGGGACCTCTTCTTCTCCAGTTCCAGGCGTTCTGGAAGCACAGGGGAAGAGTGTGGGTAGGACTCCTCTGGGGGGCCTTGGTTCTCAGGACCCAGTGGCAGGCCTGTGTGTGCCCACCTTCAGCCTGGACAGCCCGCATCTTCAGCTCAGCTGCCGTGTTGGTCAGCTCCTGCCTGGTCAGGAATAGCTGATCCTGCTGAGATTTCACCTTCCGCTCCAACTCGTCCACCTGGAAAACCGGCACTGAGGGAGGGAAGCTTTGGCCCCTTCCCTGAAGCCCTGCCCCAGGCCTTCCAGGGACCTGCCCCCATACCCTGCCCCCATACCTGGTTTTGCAAAAGCAAGTTCTTTTCATTGGCAGCAGACAAGTCTCTGAGGAGCTTAGACTCCCGCTCTGCAGCTTCCTGGGGGTCAGATGGGGAAAGGGCACCACTGGACACCTGCCACCATGCACCGCCTGCCTACCCCACGCCCAACTACCTGCCCATCCAGCCCTCCCTGCCCACCTGCTGCTCCAGCCTGTGCTCCTTTGCCTGCCTCTGCGCCAGGCTCCGCTGTTCCTGCTCTGCGGTGGCCAGGAGCTCCCCCAAGTCCTGGGTCTTCTGCTCTGACAGAGCCAGGGCGGCCTCAGCCATCTGCAGCCTGCAAGGAGGGAAGGGCCAGCCCCACCCCATCCCTCCTCTAGACTCTAAGGCCTTGCTGTTCTCACTCTTGCCAGACTATTACCCCAGCTAGCACCCACCTCCTCCAAGAAGCGTTCCCAGGTTACCACCCCAGCGGTCCCTCCACCTCCTTTGTACACTGGGGACTCGAGTCCTCGTCTGGACAGTCCTCCTCTGCCCTGTGGGCAGGTCTCTAAAGTGTTTTGAAGCCTCCCCACAACCCCATCCTACCCTCTGCTCCTCCTTACTTGGCCTTGAGAGCGTTGATGATGGAATGCCTCTCATTCAGGGCTTCTTGAAGCTGCCCCACGCGTGCTGCCGACGCCCTGTGGGCAGAGAGGAGGGTTCAAGAGACCCAAACCCTGGCGCCCTCTGGGCCCCTCCCTGCGGCAGCTGCTGCTCCTCACACTCACGCTACCTCCAGGTGTGGGCTGAGGAAGTCGCGGTGCAGCCTCTAACCCTCCAGCCAACTCCCTCAGTAAACACACCCCACAACCTTGTCCACGGGCAGGCGGCGAGGCTCATGTCAGGTCACTCCAAGGCCAGAGTGAGGACCTGAAGCCCGGGTACCCCCAGCGCACCACCTCCCTGCCCCCGGCCTTGGGGCCACACTCACTTGCTGCTCCTGACCATCTCTTCTCTCTGTCTGTCGATCGTCTCCATCAAGTCCAGAAACTGGGGACAGAGCCAGCCAGAGCCCAGTCAGGGCCCAGAGCCCGCCCACTCCCCACCATCAGCGGACAGGAGGGCAGACATCCACTGAGGCGGCAGGACACGAAAGGGCTGGGCCTCATCCAAAGGGAGAGTGGCTCCCACGCAGGGAGGCCCAGAGGGGAAGCCCACCTACCCGCCCACCCAGCCAGAGGGTATCAGAACAAGAGGCTGCCTCCCAGGCCTGGGTATTGGCTACTTGGAGAGGCTCCAGGGCCCAGAAGGAAGGAACAAGGCCATGGCATGGGGGCTGAGGGGGACCCTTTGTCCATACAGCCAGGGCGGGGCTGCGGACGGGGCGAGGCCCTGCAGTCAGAGGCAGCACTGTCCTCACCTGTTTGGACTTCTCTTCCCGGAGGTGCCGCACCTCCTTGCTGAGCACTTGGGCGTGGGCCTGGCTTTCCCGGAAGGCGGTCTGCCGGTCCTGGTTGTGATCCATGGCTTGTTCTGTTGGAAAGAGCCAAGTTGTCTACCGGGAGGCCGAGCCCCAGGAGTGGCCAACGGCCAGCCCAGCCCCATGCCCAGAAGACACTGCACAAGGTGGTATCTCACCCCACAAATCAGACTCCTCAGTGCACTAGCAGGTGAGGGGCTCAGAGGGGATGGGGGTAGGGACAACAGTGAAGCCAGGAGCCTGGGAGGGGGAACAGGCACACGGGGAGAGGTGGGGAGGCTACTCAACTGCCAAAAAAGGTGAGCATTTGGGCTCCGCCCCAAAGGCCAAAGGCCAGTGTGTGACTTTTAAGAGGTGAATGGTGTGCTCAGCTCCCATGCTCTGGAAAGGTCAAGGCAGCATTTGGAGAGAGGCCAGCCCGAAGCGGCCACGGTGCCAACTGGGGTGACTCAGAGGCAGGCCCAAGAACCAAGAAGTGGGAGAGGACATGCGTTGGGCAGACCCAGCAGGTGGTGATGCCACACTAGATTGCAACCCAGGCTCGGGCCCTTGGGTGGCTGGCGCTGCCGGTGGGACGAGCCACGGGGAGTGGCAGAGTGCTCAGTGGGCTTGGGGCTGAGGAGTCAGGGTCATGACTGGCGGAGACCGTGGTGCGAGGAGGGTGAGGCGCAGCACCAGGCAGTCGGCGCTCTGCAGGCTCCTGCCGCTGCCTTTTCTTCCCTGGCGCCTGCTCGCACTTCCTCTGTTTTTAACATGCTACCATCGTGATGCCGTGTTTACTTGTTCTGGCCCAAGCCACCCCTCCCTCAGTGGCTGAGTCTCTGTCACAGGAAATCAGCTCTATGCCCTGCTCTAAACAGTGCAAGCCACCAGCGGTCCCATGTGCCCATACCCACGGCTCTGAGGATGTCGCCGGGGATGCTGTTCCCAGCCAGCTCCAGCTTCCACAGGGTTCTGTTGCTAGGGAGACAGTTTACCAGGGCGCGGCCCCCCAGGAGGCCGATGTGATTCCAGCGCAGGTCTGGAAGGAAATCTGGTGTTGCCAGATGGAAAGCACGGGGCGGGGGTGGGAGGGCTGGCCCAGCCTGGAACACTGGTACTCCCTGTGGTCGGCCACAGATCAGGAGCCCAGCTCAGCGTGCCCCTCCTCTCCCACCCCACCCTTCTGGGAGAGGACAAAGAAAGCAGTGGGAGGGCTGAGGAAGCCGATGAGATGCAACCCCC